GTCATCTCAACAATAAAGTCAGCAAAGGCTTGCCCCTTCACTGCTTTTCTAGGCTCGAAAGTAACTTCGAGGCTCTGAATTTCTATGGCCCATTTGATCATCCGGCCTGACGACTCCATGGTGGTCAATGGCCGCTTGATAGGTTGATATGTATACACGACGACTGCATGTGCCAAAAAGTAGGGCTTCAATTTTTTAACAGCCATGAAGAGTGCAAGACCAAATTTCTCCACTAAGGGATACCTCAACTCGGCATTTTTCAGTACATGACTGACAAAGTAGACCGGGAGCTGACAACCGTCTCTTTCAGCAAGAAGAATAACGCTTAACGCATGATCAGAGACGGTCAGGTACATGTAGAGTACTTCTTTGGGCAAAGGGTTGACTAGCCTCGGCAAGGAATGCAAGTGAACTTTCAATTTCTGGAAGGCCGCCTCAGCATCCGGCCCCCATTCAAACCTTGCCTTTTTCTTAATGGCCTGGAAGAAGTATAAACATTTGTCGCCTGATCGGCTTAGAAATCTTCCCAAGGCCGCCAGACAACCTATTAACTTCTGAACCTCTCGGACGGTGCGAGGCGACTGCATGTCGATGACCGCCTGCACCTTCTCAGGGTTCGCCTCTATTCCTCTCTGATTGATAAGGAATCCGAGAAATTTCCCAGACTCAACTCCAAATACACATTTCTTGGGATTGAGCATCACATGGTGCCGCCTGAGTGTGGCGAATGTTTCTCGGAGGTCCGACAGATGATTTGTCTGAAGCTTAGACTTAACGATCATATCATCAATGTATGCTTTGACGTTCCTCCCAATCTGATCAAAGAACACAGTATTTATCATTCGCTAGAAGGTGGCCGGGGCATTCTTCAGACAAAACGGTATGACCGTGTAACAATATAACCCCTGATCAGTGACGAAGGCCGTCTTCTCCTGATCTTTCTTCCATAAAGGAATTTGATGGAAACCAGAGTAGGCGTCCATAAAGCTCATTAGAGCATGGCCGGCTGTTGAGTCGACCAGATTATCAATTTTAGGCAGAGGGTAACTGTCCTTGGGGCACGCTTTGTTCAAATCTGTGTAGTCTACACACATTCTCCAGGTACCATTCGGCTTTTTAACAAGCACTACTTTTGCAACCCAGTCTAGGAAGTAACATTGCCGAATGAACCCCGCATCAAGTAATTTCTTAACTTCGGCGGCTGCCGCCTGACTTCTCTCTTCGCCATGGTTCCGTTTCTTCTGACTTACCGGCTTCCTTTTCGGATCTACAGCCAGTTTATGTACCGCCAGGTCAGGACTGATGCCTGGCATTTCATGGACTTCGAATGCAAGGATGTCTTTGTATTCTGTCAATAGTTTGTGAAAGTCGTCACCCAGGACTCTTAGAGCAGTCGTCCCAACCTTGACTGTTCGGTCAGGACACGAGTCGTCTAGAATCAGGTCTGTATGCTCACTAGCCGGCTGAGGGCGGAATTCATCCGACCGCTCCTCTGCCAATGATTGCTATTTTTTCTCTTTTCTTGCGGCCCCCATCTGGGCAGCCTTTCTCTTCTTGTCGCCTGCTTCTTGAACAGGCGCACTCTCCCTGACATTGTCAAGGTCTGTTTTTCCACCACTTGACCCAGCGGCCATGACAGTGGGCTTGATATCCGAGAGATAGCACTCTCGGGCCATCTTCTGATCTCCCGTTAGGGAGCCGACTGTTCCATCATCCCTCTCAAACTTGAGCAACATAAGAGATGGGATTATAACAGCCTTGGAATTATTCAGGGTTGGTCGTCCCAGAATCATGTTGTAGGCCGAGAGTTCCTCAACTACCAAGAACCGGACCACCATGTGTCGACCTTCCCCTTTTTCACCCAGACGGATGGGTAAATCCACTCGTCCCACCGGGTGGACAACTCCTCCTCCAAACCCTACGAGAGGGTGGGATACCGGATGTATGCAATCAGTCTGATATTTGAGTTTTGACAGACATTTGCTACTGATAAGGTCTGAGGAGCTGCCGGTATCTATGAGGATTCGGCCAACTCTCTGGTTGGCCACTTTACATTCAATAAAAATGGGGTCGTCATACGGCCCCCTTACCCCTCCTAAATCTTCTTCAGTGATGACAATCTCAGGAAAAGAATATTTGGAGGGCCGTTCTTGGTGAACTGAATTGACGTCTAGCCGCCTGATATTGTCTTTATTGCCCCTAATAGTGGGGGCGCCTCCTGAGAAGCCGCCTGCAATGGTGTAGACGACTGCATCATTTGTATCAGAGCTGTCGACCTGTTGATTCTTTTGGGCCGACTGCTTCTTCGAGGAAGAGCTCCCCTTAGATTTCTTGACATAAGAGTCAAGATCGCCTTGTTCAGCCAGGCGGTCCAGATACCGCATGAGGCTGATGCATTCGTTGGTTTGATGACCAACATCTTCATGATAATCACAAAATTTTTCTTGGTTCCGGTTGCTCGCAGAACCCTTCATGGGGGCCGGCTTCTCAATTGAGATCCGTCCCTTAATTTCTTTTAGGATAGCTTGGCTATCCTTGTTAAACGCATACTTCGGGGAGTATGGTTTAAACTCTTTCTTTTTCTGGGCCGGCTGTTTAGAGGAATCAGCCGCCCATACCTCTTTTCTCTTTTTCTCATCTTTGTTGGACGACTATTTCTGTCGTCCTTCTTTTTTGTCGAACCTTTTCTCGTCCGATTGTTTTCCCGTACTGCAAAAATCAGTCGCCTGTATATAGGCTTCTGCTTCAATCAAGGCTTCTTGAAGAGTCGCCACCCTTTTTCGAACTAAATCAAACTTGAAGGTCGGCCCGTCTTTGAGGCCTCTGAAAAAGTCAGTGTAGGCCACCTCATCCGGTAGCCCTTGAATCTGTATTCGCATCAGGTTAAACCGCCTGATGTAAGAACGAAGCCCCTCCTTCTCGCCCTGCTGAATCGTCCCTAAATCAAGGGTCGTCTTCTTCGCAGGTATGTTCATGGCAAAGTTGGAGGTAAATAAGTAAGCAAGCGTCCTGAAGTTATTTACACAACCAGTCGGCAGGTTGCCGAACCATTGTTGGGCGATTCCTTTGAGAGTCGCTGGAAAACACTTGCACCAAGTGGGATCATCCAACCCTTGAAGATACATCAGTTTGGTGAATGCCATCAAATGATCTTCTGGGTTAGTAGTGCCATCATAGGCGCCTACTAACACATTTTTCACTTTGGCCGGTTGAGCGGCTTCTGTAATTTCCTTGGAGAAAGCCGACGGCTGTTCCCCAAGTCTAAGCAACCGTAGCTTCCAGTCCACAGGTTGGAAATTCTTTGCCGCATGTCCTCCAAACAGAGGTTGCTGCAAAAAATATTGTTGTTGCGGTACAAATGGCAAGTTTGGTACCGCCTGGTCACTATGAAAGCCGGACTGACGGGAGGTATCGCCTGACTGACTCTCATGATGTGACTGAGTATACCTCATAGAGGTATTGCGCAGACTGTCTAGGAAGTCTGAAGTAGAGGCCGACTCTGACAGTCGGTCATTCTTCTTCTGCTCGAGCAGTAGCCGAGCGTCTGTGTATGTTTTCTTCGACCCGTCCGCCTGAATATAACGAACGGGTTTCCTCTTTCCTGGAGTAGGAAAACGGTACTTTGTGAAATCAAGGGCAGGCGGCTCCCACTTCCTAGAGTTGGGATGAGGGGTCACCTCTCACCCTTGAACAGGCTTCCTCTTCCCTAAAGAGGAAGGTTTTTTAGCCGACTGCTTCTTGGTCAGAGCAGGCGTTTTTCTGTTGAGCAACTCTTGAATCTCTCCCTTGAAGCCCCTCATGAAGGTCATGAGTTCGTTCCTTGTAATGGGAGCAGACTCATCAGCCGGCTGCTGCTGAACAGGCGGTGCGCCAACTGGATCACTGAGTCCAGTTTGAAGATCTTCCCGTTCTCTCCTTTCGGTATGACGGGTGCGCCGGGCCCTTAGGGTCCCGTCTGAAGCTGTATGAGCTTCAACTTCAAATTCTTCTTCAGTATCATGGTCCGACTGAACTTGAGGGTCGTCCAGGGGACGCCTCTCTTCAGGAGTCGGTACAGACGTGGATGCCATCTCAAAAGTACTCTCCCCACAGACGGCGCCAAAATGTTTCGGGGTTTTTTGATGTCCTACGGGAGAGTTACAATTCCGAGACTGGAACCGGACGCCTGTACCTGCAAAACAAACGGATGCTCCGGATGATTGGAGATCCGCCTCCAACGGTCAAGTTAGTACTTGATTAAGGAGTAATTAATGCGGAAATAAATGTAATTTGGTCTCTCTAGGTGAGAGTGTTTAATGTGTGTAATCCCCTTTTAATGAGGATTAATGGGCATATTTATATGCCTTGGGATGCGTACCAGTACTAGGTTTAGGTTAAACTTTAGGCTGACTGGGCTTCCCACCAAGATTGGGCCTTGTTGGCTGATTTACCTATTTGGCATGATGGACACGTGTCACATCACAATTGGTCCGTGGAGGACGTATCTCATTATGACACGTGGCAGGCTCCTATTGGCCTACGTGAAGGACACGTGGCGAAACCTGGCTGGTCCACGTGTCGGATGCTGATTGGTGGATAAAAATCCCCTAATCAATATCCTTAAAGACGAGTCAATGAATTATATGTAGCTTAATGTAAAGGTTTTTCAACTTAAAGTAAATAAAATAATACCAAAAGTAGATAAAAAAAAAAATAATAATTTTTGTAATTTTTTTTTAAAAGCATATGTATAATGAAATCATTAAAAGTGATATATGAGCGTAGCAAACTGAGTCATTGACCTAGCTGTTTAACTAATTTGTTTCCACATTTATCCAGCTAGCCACATTCTCAACATCTGGTTGATGCAATTTGTGACTAGATCTTTTTACTTGTATGACTTAGACGTCTATCTCGTCTTTCTCTAAAAACTGATTCGATCGTTTTATATCACGGTAAGATAGAGCCAAATCATAACCCACATTACAAAGTGAAAAATAATTAAATTAAAAAGAAGCATATGAGGTTAAAGTAAAAGTTTTCAAATAAGAAGTTAATAAAATAATACAAAAAGTAAAAAAAAAAATTATAAAAAAAAAAATTACACAAATGAACCTATGTGGGATTTGAACCCACATCTTTTGTGCAATTGCACAGTGCTCTGCCAATTGAGCTAGTAGGCTAGTGTATATTTCACATTCGATTTGAACCCATATCTTTTGTAATGAAATTACTTGGTATCACATTATAATAATCATGCTTGTGCATCGGTGCCTGCTGGTTTATTTGCATTCAGAAGAGGCTGCAGAGCCTTAACCACAATCGTCATGTTGGGCCTAAAGTCAGCTTCATACTGAACACATAATGCTGCTACTGCTGCAATCTGATCAATACCAAAGAGCCAACATTATAAACACATACATTGGAAATATACTTATTAAACTACTATCTAATTGGAAGTAAACATGTGAAAAAAAAAAGGTTTGATGAACTCTGTGATAAATTTATATCCATGTGACATTTGCTTTAAAAGTTAAATGCAAAAGGAGAACAATAATATAAGTGTATTTCTAACCTTGGCTACTGCATTCGGTGGGTAATTGTCATTAAGCTTGGGATCAACACATTGTTTCACTTAGAGCCTTTATATATTATCTTTCAGACTATCAATCTCTTTCAAATCTTCGATTCGCTAACAGATCTAGCTATGATAACTGCATCTTCTGTTGCCTGAAGTTAGGCATTGTTGAAGTAGGCAGAATTACTCCATTTTCCTTACTCTAAACAGAAGCCCCCACACAGCCATTAACATACATCACAACCACACAACCAAATACTCAACTTGACAACTACAATCAACTTAAAAGTAAATAATATAAACTCTAAAGTAGATCAAATAACCAAAAATATCATGACCTAGTAGATTTAATTATCACATAAGCTAAAATAACCAATAAGAACATATAACTCTGAAATTGTGAAAACCTTAATTTCCCCAACCAAAGTAGTAAACTTGATTCAAAAATCAAATTCACAATTACAAGAATGAGACCTATGCCAAGCAACAGGAATCATACCATAATAATAGTTTAAAATAAGAGGTGTTAGTGGTGATAGTCATACAAGGAGTCACTCCTGCAGCCCTAATGCTACTGAGGCCTACAGCAGGTGTTTACGTACTCAATATCTTCATCTACTTTCTTTGATGTTTTTGGAACTTAGTGTTTTAGATTTTGTTTTCATGAATGTGATTCACTAATCAACACAAGTCCTCGAGATATCTTACTTTTAATTACTGGTGAAGCTAGTACAATAAAATTGAAATAAAACATGGCAGAATTGACTCATCCCTCTCTCCTCCCCCCCCCCCCCCCCCCCCAACCCCTTCAAGCAAGTATAATCAATGCAATCAATGGGAAAACTCTCCTACCGCAGGGAATATTATTTAATGCAATCAACCAAGCTCAATGTGTCTAAACATGCCAAACTAGATATTAGAGGGCACAATGTACTCAGGTTGTTCATTATCCATCAAATTGGGACCAAGGCAAGTTAGTAAATATGTTGTTTATGTACATGGCTAAGTAACCATTTGGATATGTTACCCAACAGTGCTTTGGGTGGGGATATTTGTTTTAAACAACTCTAAATTCACTCCACACCACTATATACCCTTATATATACACAATACACTATAAACAACTATAAATTCACTCCACTCCAAACACCTTTAAGCACTTGCAAAAAATATGCTACCTTACACACATACAAATTAAAATACATCACCAACAAATCAAACCATCAAATTAAAGAAAGTAAGGCATAAGATTTAAGTAAATTATACCATAAAACTATAAATTGAGAAAACACCAAACAAACAAACAAAAAAAAAAAAAAATTCGGTTTCATTTCTATAATTTCAATCGAAAACCTAGTTTAGATTCTCTACCATGGACAAAAAATCGCAAGAAGGCTCAACAAAAATGGCAACAAAATCGCAGCAAATATAACCAAAATTGCAAATTGCTCAAACTAAAATCAACGAAAACACTAATTTCAGGCTCAAAATCATACAAAAATCAAACAATTATAAAACAATTGAATAAAACATAAAAACAACACAATTAAATAGCTTACTTGTATCAATCTGCAACGAAAAAAGTGACGAAGAAAAGCAAATCCAATAATGATCGAGAAGCTCTTAGAAAAATTCGCAGATGAGAATTTAGAGGATGAGAGAGAAAGTAAAAACGAAAATCAGATACAGTGAAGGTAGTCATTCAAAGCGAGAATTTACCATTTTACCCTTAATGAAGCAGGTGAAGTGTAGACCGCTGGATGAAACGCGATGGACAGTTCATATCAGTTCCTAGTTCTTATTATTCATAAAGTTTTACAAATATTGCATCACTTTCAGTTTAGGACAAAAAAATATTTATGTTCACACTGCAAATACCCAACATACCTTACTTTTTCACACTTACTTTTTATTTTATCTTTACGTTACATGGACAATTTTGTATTTTTTCGTTTCTCTCTCTTATTTTCCCACTACCAAATTTTGCCTCCAAAACCCCTATTATGCAATAAAAAAAAGAACGGAGGAAGTATATATACTATGTATATGACGATGAGTTAATGATTTATGCTATCATTGCTCATTTATTAGCAATCAATTATTGAAGGGAAATTCCTACTCCATCGTTAATAATATTGACATTTGTGTAAAAAACATATCTGATGGAAAACTTGTAAATAAAGACCTAAAGCTTATAGGAAAAAAGATTGTTGCTATTAAATTGACAGTCTTTGATGTTAAATTTGATTCTCTCCTTATTCTCTAAAAAAAAAATTTGATTTTCTCCTCATTTAAAAATTCTTTTATTTTACGTATGTAAAATATGAATATATAATCTAAGTTTAAACACTAAAGTGCTAGTATTAATCTATTGAAATATTATATGTTATATTTACAACCTAAAAAACAATGAAATGAAAAATGATTTGATCATAAGGTGCAACACTCCAAGCAATACTCAAGCCCAAAAACTAGTTATAGTACAATACATAGGAAGTGAATAAACATTTCTCCAATTTACCCCTAGATATATTTTCAAATTACAAATTCTATATGACTATTGACTAGCTACACAGTGTGATCACTTCACATATAAGACAACTAGCATTTTTTGCACGTGATGCGTGCGTACGATAGACGATTTTAAATTCAGTTCATCTTACTTAGTAACCTTATGACACTGACCAAGTATCCCCTATTACACTAACGAAGTAACCCCTATAATGAATGGTCACACGGTGTGACCAACCACATAAAAATTTATGTTTCAAATTTATTTATTTTAACTATCTAATACGATTTTATCACACGTATACAAGTATAAAATGAGGGTAAATATGTTAAAGATAAAACATTAGATGAAAATCAAAATTTTATTTCGAAAATAGTATACACATATGCATGATGCTCTTAAGTTCTTAACTGCTAACAAGGTAAGCTGCATATCATTCGGCAGTAGTTAAAAAGCTGATAATATCTAAAGAATTTTTTTTATATATATATATTCTTAAACATTATTTAGCATCCAATGGTGAAATTTAATATTTTTAAACCAATTTTCCTTTTGCTCCAGTCTAACCAGAACAGACTCCCAAACACAGACAAAAAGTTTGCTCATATAGACTAAGCAGACAAAATTGGTGGCCAATATATTGACCATAAAATCATAAATACAAATCTTCATCAACAAAATGTCAAAATCTAAAACTTAAGTGATGTAAAATATACTCGCATAAGGAAATGTACATTGGACGTAGTTTAACACAAAATGAAAAGCTTTTAAGAAGTCCCTTTCTTCATAAAGCATCACGAGCAGCAATTCGACACGTAATGGCATCCCCGAGTGAGCCTAATCCCAATTCCAAGCTGGATATTTTGTAATGCTGGGTATAAATCAAACATGTTAACCAAGTGCATGCTTGTAAAGCATAGTATCAAGTGACTAAATCAACCGTCAAGTATGCTACCTTTAGAATTTGGCATTGATTTGCTCTTCCTGCTAATTCCTCCAAATTGATCTCATTTCCCTTGACAATGTCTTGAATGGCTTTTATCTAAAAACATTCCAAAATCCAAGGTTATATATGCCGAATGTTTCAGAGCCACCAATGAACAGGAAAATGATAGGTAATGGCTCACCTCATTTGCTGAAGCATCGAAACATGCGGCAAGGATATAGGTACAACTATCAGAAATGCCACACCTTTTTAAAGATTCCGTAATCTGTGAACATGAACATAATATAAACAGATGCCATCCAAAACAATAAAACATTGTATCGGGGGCAGCAAAGGGAAAAAGGGGGGAAGGGAAGGGGGGGCATAGGTGTTCATTAGCAACAAAAGATGATTACATGCTTAGATCCTGAATAATTGTAAACCAGCTCAGAATGAAGTGTTCTTGTTGTGAGAGTTTCCCGTCCTTTAGACAGTAGAGCCTTGTAGGCAGCTGCTAGAACAGGGAAGGCATCAGGAATCTGCCTCAAAAAAAATAAACAGTAGATTAAAAGATAAGGCTAACCTTGCTCAAAACAGAGAATAGAAGCAAACTAAGAGAACTCACAAGAGATGCATTAAGAAAAGCAACTTCTGGCACCAAATTTCCTGTTTGCATTAAGTCCAAAAGTTCTCTGCAAACACAAGCATAGAAAAGTGGCCTTTTACGTTCATATGGTTTCTTTGTTTTTAAGGTGTAAAAATGTAGAATCCACATGATTTGTGCGCACTAGTTTACATACACCAAGGAAACAGTAGAAGCCCTTAACAGAAACAGCCCAGCAATGATATATAAATTTTCTTGCCAAATCTGGGGTCACTGGAATGAGGATTTTTAGACCTATGAATAACTGAAAATCACAAACGTAACAAATCCATAGAAGATTTTCAAGGTATCTATAAAGAATTATGCTGCAGTCTCTAGTATGAAAAAAAAATCTACAGATAAAATACATACAAAATCAACATTTTTTCAATGTAAAACTGTATTAGTATATATATGCAATATTAAATTTTAAGTAAATAGAAAAATAGAGAACAGCCAATCAAAGTTGGGAGTAAAAAGAGGGATATTAATCCATTTGTTTGCTGATCAATTCTAATAATCAAGAACTGCGAACAAAGGCACAATTAATAATAATCCCTTCACCCTCTTGTTTAATCTAAGAAACTTAGAATCACCTCCTCAGGTTAGAAGATTGAAGTCAACCATTCAGGAGAAAAATGAACACAGCTAACCTTGTCCCATAGAAAGGAGATTATACAGTCCGCATTGAGATTTGTTTTTGTTTTTATTTTGGATCTGAGCATTCTTAGGATAATATAAGCAAATTAACAGGACACAACAAAAGCAAAGAACATTGATGAAGTGGTGCACAACAGTAACACAGATATTTATCTCATTCTTTTTCTAGCAATGATCTTAGTCAATCTAAATAATAACAATAATCAATGAAAATCAATTCAAGACCAAGGGAAATATCTTGAAATGGCAGAGGCTGTAGTCTCAACAGGAATTGATTCTAACACGTGCGTTGATAGGGCCTCGGAATATTATTGGTGGTATAACTGCAAAGGAGTACTCCACATATCAAACATGAAATGTAGAGTATAAAACTGCTCACCATTTCAAAGAACAATGCATATAGGACAACAAGAGAGTGAAACAGCCATCAAGTTACAGAATTACTCATGATCACATTTACAAAATCAAGAAATAACAGGCAATAATTGATTAGGGGTTTTTTCCCCACCAATCACCATCTGACAAGTGGACCAATCAGGTTCCGCCATGTGTCCGTCACATGGGCCAATAGGAGCCTGCCACGTGTCAAGCAATGATCCGTCCACTACGGACCGATTACGACACGACACGTGTCCTTCCCATGACACCTGGGATAACCGGTCACCTAGGCCCAACTTCCGAGGGAAGCCCAATCAGCCCAAGGTTAACCTAAACCTAGATTGGCACATTTCCCGAGGTTATAAATACCTCCCTTAATCCTCATTAAGGGAGATGACGCAAAAAACGCAGATTACACACATTAAACACTCTCACCTAGAGAGACCCAATCACATTAATTTCCGCATTAATTACTCCTTAATCAAGTACTAACTTGACCGTCGGAGGCGGAGCTCCTACCACAAGGAGTCTCCGTTTGTTTTGCAGGTACAGGCGTCCGGTTCCAGTCTCGGAATTGTAACTCTCCCGCAGGACATCAGAAAACCCCGAAACATCTTGGCGAATGATAAACACTGTGTTCTTTTATCAGATTGGGAGAAATGTCGAGGCATACATTGATGATATGATTGTCAAGTCTAAACTTCAGAAAGATCATCTGTCGGACCTCCGAGAAACTTTCGCCACACTCAGGCGGCACCATGTCATGCTCAATCCCAAGAAATGTGTCTTTGGAGTTGAGTCTGGGAAATTTCTCGGATTCCTTATCAATCAGAGAGGAATAGAGGCGAACCTTGAGAAGGTGCAGGCGGTCATCGACATGCAGTCGCCTCATACCATCCGAGAGGTTCAGAAGTTAACAGGTTGTCTGGCGGCCTTGGGAAGATTTCTAAGCCGATCAGGCGACAAATGCCTATACTTTTTCCAGGCAATTAAGAAAAAGGCAAGGTTTGAATGGGGGCCGGATGCTGAGGCGGCCTTCCAGAAATTGAAAGTTCACTTGCATTCCTTGCCGAGGCTGGTCAGCCCTTTGCCCAAAGAAGTACTCTACATGTACCTGGCCGTCTCTGATCATGCGTTAAGCGCTGTTCTCCTTGCTGAAAGAGACGGCTGTCAACTCCCGGTCTACTTTGTCAGTCACGTACTGAAAGATGCCGAGTTGAGGTATCCCTTAGTGGAGAAATTTGGTCTTGCACTCTTCATGGCTGTTAAAAAATTAAAGCCCTACTTTTTGGCACATGCAGTCGTCGTGTATACAGACCAACCTATCAAGCGGCCACTGACCATCATGGAGTCGTCAGGCCGAATGATCAAATGGGCCATAGAAATACAGAGCCTCGAAGTTACCTTCGAGCCTAGAAAAGCAGTGAAGGGGCAAGCCTTTGCTGACTTTATTGTTGAGATGACTCGTCCTCCTGACTCTCAAGTTCCAGACCAAGTCTGGAAGGTATATGTGGATGGAAGCTCTACTTTAAATGGTTGTGGAGCAGGCGTCATATGTCAGTCGCCAGAGGGCGACAGGTACGAGTATGCTCTACGCTTCAGTTTTCAGGCCTCAAACAATGAGGCAGAATATGAAGCTTTACTAGCCGGAATCCGCATGTGCAAGGCGCAGGGGCAAGAAAAATAGACGCCTGTTCCGATTCACAATTGATAGTGAGTCAGTACAATGGCGAATACGAAGCAACCCATCCGGCCATGATCAAGTATTTACAGGCGGTCCGACAAGCAGTCGGCTCCCTTGAGGATTTCCATCTGACCCAAGTGCCGAGATCAGAAAACAACCAGGCGGATGCACTTTCAAAATTAGCATCATCCGCCTCTTGTGATACTCCTCGAACTGTTTTTTGGGAAGTAATGGAGAAGAGAAGCATCGAGGAAGACCCTATTGGAATCCTAGACAGGATCTCAACCTGGATGGATGCAATGGAGATGGTGAAAAAATGTGACAAGTGCCAAAGGTTTGGCAAACTAATTCACCGTCCGGCTACTGGCCTCACTACCATTCATAGCCCACTACCGTTTGCTAAGTGGGGCATGGATATTCTGGGTCCATATACGCCTGCTACAGGCGGAAGGAGGTACATACTTGTTGCCGTCGACTACTTCACTAAATGGGTAGAGGCGGAGGCTGTAAAGGGAATCAAGACGAAGGATGTAATTTCATTCATCTGGAAAAATGTCATCACTCGGTTCGGGGTTCCCATGTCTATGGTTTATGATAATGGTCCCCAATTTGAGACGCCTGTTCTCAAAAGCTGGTTGGGTGACCAAGGAATTGCACACTACTTTGCATCTGTCGGCCGTCCACAAGCAAACGGCCAGGTAGAAGCCTTTAATAAAATCATCTCAGACGGTCTCAAGAAAAAGATTGAACGAGCAGGCGGCCTATGGGCGGATGAATTGCCACATGTTCTCTGGGCCATTAGGACGACTGAAAAAGGGGCGACTGGAGAAACTCCATTCCTCCTAACTTATGGTGCGGAAGCTGTTCTTCCAATAGAACACTACGAGCCGACTCTTCGAGTAATGCTATATGACGAAGAGGCAAACTGGGAAGCCATGCGCCTGGCATTAGACTCACTTCCTGAAAGGAGGGGCAATGCTGTCTTGCGCCATAAAATTTACCGCCTGAAGATGACTAGATCATACAACAAAAAAGTACGCAGGCGTCTACTCAAGGTGGGGGACTTTGTACTTAGAAAAATGGAAGCAGTTGGAAGGGCTAATGAGTCTGGCAAACTAACTCCCAACTGGGAAGGACCCTACCGAATCTGTGAAGAGGTCAGGGACGGTACCTACCGTCTGGAAACACCAGACGGCCAACCGTTGCCTCGAACTTGGAATGCAGATAATCTTAAGAAATATTTCTTTTGAATGATATAAATAGTCAAGGGCTACTTAATAAAAGTTTGCATACTTAATATTCAATTTTGTACTAAGAGGGGCACGCCTACTAACAAACAGTCGGCTACTCTCCATACTCAGTTTTCATTTTTACTTAAGAGGGGCATGCCTACTGACAAACAGTCGGCTACTCTCCATGTTTAATTTTTATTCTTACTTAAGAGGGGCAGGCCACCTATACATTTACAGTCGCCTACTCTCCATTGAGTATTTCACTTTATCATCAGAGGGGCATGCCGTCTGTACCTTTACAGTCGGCTACTCTCCATTGAGAAATTTACTCTATCTTCAGAGGGGCATGCCGCCTGTACCTTTACAGTCGGCTACTCTCCATTGAATATTTTACTCTATCACCATAGGGGCATGCCGTCTGGATATATAGTCGGCTACTCTCCATAGAAGAGGGCCGACTGGTTCCAAAGCACACAGCCACCCCCCTTATATTTAGCTAAAAATGATCAGGGCCTGGCCGACCATGTGCCTAAACAGGCGGCTACCCTCCTTTTACTTAGCACCTACGTTCACCAAGAACTAACCAAGGCCACAAGCCGAATGATCAGACCAGGCGCCAAGCCAACTGATCCAATCTTCAAAACTAATACGACCTGTCCCAACATCATAGCAGGCGTCCGGCGGCATCCCTCCGGATGAAATTCGTCGCAGAGAGCAGCTCCCTTTTGGGTGGAACATTGCTCTATAAACTAATTACACGGCACCTATACGACTGTCCCCAAGGGCAACCACGTAGCCGTTTTTGAGACAAGGATAACTCTATCACTAACCAAACCAGTGGTAGCAGTTGACATCTGAGTCAGATGACCGCCTGTATTACTTGGGATAAATGCAGGGGGTACCTCTTGAGTTAATAGCCAACAAACATTAGCGAATCAAAAGGTTCAGCCGGCCTCCGCCGCCTGGTACCTTTACTACTCAAGCAGGAGTGACGGCGACTGAGTAACACCAAAGTTAACTCATAGTCACTCTCTCAAACTTAGTATGGAGCCTAAAAGGTATGAGTCGTCCGCCTGTTTTTAGCAAACAGGGGCT